TCTCCAAAGAAACTTGTCCACAAGCTTCAGAACTCCATGTCCGGGAACTTCTTCTGCATATCAAACAAAAGCTCCCATGTTGTTCCTCTGCATTTTGGCCCTCTCATTGAACCAGTACCAACGTTACAGCTTTGCCTTGACGCTTCCCCATCTTATGTTCCAAAATAAACTCAGGCCTCCGCACATGTTCCTCACTCAGTACAGAAGGAAGATGAGTTGATGTTGTCACATTACCCACTGCACGTTTCAGTTGAGAAACATGAAAGACAGGATGTACTCTTGTTTCTTCTGGAAACCTCAACTTATATGCAACTTCCCCAACTTTATCACTGATGCAATAAGGACCAAAGTACTTCGGTGTCAGCTTCTCATTTGATCTCCGTACTACTGACTGTTGGCAATAAGGACCAAAGTACTTCGATATCAAACTAGGGAAAACGGCCGATTAGTACCTGAACTATGGTCATATTGTCTGATCAATACCCAAACTATTTCACTGTGCGAATTTATACCTGATCTAATACAAATTTTGAATTTAGAACCTGAACTAAAGTCATATTGGCTAATCAATATCTAAACTATTTTATTATGCGAATTTGTACCTGATCTAATAAAAATTTTGAATTTGGTACCTGAACTTATAAAATCTGACTTTTACATACTTGCGACTGACAATATGTCGATATTCTGCTGAGATGGACCGGTTTTTTGATGAATTGGTGTTGTTTCAAAAATTATTTTTTTAAAGAAAACAGAAATGAGGCCGCCTTGGTTCGACCCCGTTTCCGAACATATTCATAATAATTTCACTAATTACTTATGTTGGATAAGTTCCAAATGACCTTGGAATGGTGTCTCTGTTTATCACCACAATGTCTCAAATGATTCATCAATCTCATATAATTAATCGTTGTTTGTCACCACCATATCTCAAATGATTCATCAAATCTCATTTAATTAATCGTTGTTTTGATGAAAACATTTGATGAGATTTGATGAAACGAGATTAAAAAAAAAAGATTATATGAGTTCAAAACAAAAAGAGATTTGATGAATCATTTAAGACATGGTTGTAACGAATGGAAACACCATTCAAAGGTTATATAGTTGTTTTCGTACAACAAAACGACGAATCTGTTCTAGCATAAACGGTTATTGTCATATTATGTTTATGTTTTGGGACCCTGGTTCAAATTAATTAAGTTGTCTCCTTTTTTTTTGTTTTTTGAAACGCCAATTCATCAAAAAACCGGTCCATCTCAGGAGAATATCGACATGTTATCAATCGCAAGTATGTAAAAGTCAGATTTTATAAGTTCAGGTACCAAATTCAAAATTTTTATTAGATCAGGTATATATTCGCATAGTAAAATAGTTTGGATATTGATTAGCCAATATGACCATAGTTCAGGTACTAAATTCAAAATTTGTATTAGATCAGGTATAAATTCGCACAGTTAAATAGTTTGGGTATTAATCAGACAATATGACCATAGTTCAGGTACTAATCGGCCGTTTTCCCTATCAAACTACAGAAAATTCTAAACCGAGTAAAGACAAACAGAGAAAAACATGATTAGGTTTCTAGTAACTATGATCAAGCGTAACACAAATTAAAAATGAGGTTTTCAACATAATAAAAATCAAATCAATTAGATAAATGTATGGTAAATATATATATATATATATATATATATATATATTAAATTTTGAATCAGTTAGTTAATATATTAAGAATTTGTCTTGTATATATTTTTATCTCATCTTCTCTTTACTCTAACTAGGGGGTTTTCCGGGCTCCGTCCGGATTTATGACTATAGGTTTATTAAACTTTGCTTTTGTGTATTTTTATTTCAAAAAAATAAACAAATATTGTACTGGAGCTGGTTTTATAATTGTGAAAATGATAGCAAGTTTAAAACTATTTGAAATAAAAAAATAATTTGTATTTTATTGAAATGTATATAGGATATTAGTAAGATTAATAAAAATTTAAATAATTATATAATTTATGGTATATATATTCTTTTATTTTGGTTATTTATTTTTATGTAAAATAATTGTTAAATGTATAATTAATATGTATAAATTTTGTTTGGTTTTACAATTATAAAGTTTCCATTTTTCATACCGGTTCTTTATTTGGTTTGTTCAATTTATCCTTTTAACTAAATTTAAATTTGTCACTTATTGTTTGCTGTTTAATTTCATCTTTTTTTTTCATGATTTGAAAAAAAAATGTTTGTAAAGTTATTGAAGTTTACTTTCTTATAGTTGATGTAATATTATTTTTACGTCTTCTTATTTTGATAATTTAAGTAATTAGATTTTGATGACAAAAAAAAAGTAATTATATTTGATTTCAGAAATAATTGTAAATATTAACTAGGATAGTAACCCGCGCTTTGAAAGCGCGGAATTACTTTTTGTTATAAAATTTATTGATTTGCATGTTTGTTCACTAATATATTTATGCGTAGATTTTTGGTTTGCGGTTTTCGGTTTGCTTTCCGATTCTATTTTTTGGTTTTCGATTTGGTTCTGATCGATTTTGACTTTTGGTTTTTAGTTTAAAAAATATAGAAATCGTTTGGTTATTTATGGTTTCGTTTGGGTTTAGTTATTTTGGTTTTTGGTTTGGTCCAAATAACAATATTAGAAACCCCAAAAAAATATAAATTTTAAAATATACCTCTATACATGATAAAGATAATTTGTATATTCAACATTTATGATCAGAATATATAAATATCATTTTTAAATAGTAAATATTTTATTTTAAATTAGGATTATATAGCTATATTTTTGGTATAATAGATCCTATATATTGGTAATTGCTGAAATTATTTAATTATATTTTTAATATGATTATGGGAAAATATATATTATAATCGTTTGATTCACATCATAATTTAAAATTAATAAAATCGTGTAAGATATATATATATATATATTATATATTTGAAATTTATATGCAAAGTATATATCAGAAAAAAATTCTAGAGCTGGATCTGCGTACCCGCAAAATATTTTTTATTTGTGATAGTAGAGTTGATTTATTGTGGAGTCAATTTCAATTTTGATTTTACACTTCACTTAATTCGCTGCAAGTCTTCTTTTGTTTTGGCAGTTAATATAACTTATAGAATGTAGATCAAAATATTTCTATCTAAACGTATTTTATTTTGATATAAGTCATCAGAAATAGAAAAGAACTATTACTTCCCATCTTTAATGTTCATCACCCAAGTACCAAATGTTACCTACGGAGAGATATTTTTATTAACTTCAGATTATTGACTTCTGAAACCTACTGGTTGTTTAAACAAACTTGAGAATTAAATTCGGCAGCCGGCAGTAGGGTGCTGGTTTCAAGTAATACATGCAACTGGTACCGAAGAAGGAGAAGTACTCTTAAGTCTTCCCTGCCTTTTTTTTTCCAAAAAAAAAATTCTTCCCTACCTATTCAAAAACAATTCTTATGGTGTTGATGTATATTACAATATCTGGAGTAGGAGTAGGAGCAACATTCTACCAATCAAAAACTCAAATCTAAGATGAAGCCCAATAATCAAGAAACAACAGTAACAGCGCTGCAGATACGCATCTTTATCTGAACGCAAAGAAGATCATATGTATTACAATTAGCTGCAAAAGAATTGATATCAATAGGTGGAATGATTTCAAGTTTCCTCCTCCTTCAATTACCAAGAATGCAGATGGCTTCAAATCCACAACAAACAGAGAATCTATCCCGCTCCAATGGGATACCTCTGAAAGATAAGAGTTATGACCGTTTCGTAATGTTTGACCTGAGTAAATATCTCAATCTTCATGATCAAATGATGGTTTAGAGATTTTTCAATGGGTCCAGTAACTGGTGCAGTGTTCGGCGCCGGAGAACTGACCTGGATTAGCTTCTAAAATGGTCGAATGAAATGAATTGAGTTCCTGACAAGAAGAGAGTGATGGCTTGTTTGCAGTGCTGCTAATACCTGGGCTAGAGCTTATCGCATGTAGTCAAGAACGGGATTTCTCAGAAATATCTAACGGTATCAACCACTTTAGAAGGTTCTCATATGAATCCATGTGTTCATGATCCATGTCCACATCGTTCTCCGAAAGTCAGACCCTATCCTGATGCTTCTCAAACTGCAGTATCTCAATAATGTTTTTTTTTGTCGGTTTTAGAGGGAGAAGAATATAATTAGGTGTTCATTTAATTTTACTAATAGATAACCAAAGGTATGTTCCATACGACAATGGTTTAGGCTTATTAGTCGAAGTTGGTTTAATTTAAATGGATAGGCTCCATCTTTTTAAAGTAATATGTTATATTATCTAAGTATTTATAAAAGAGTCCAAAATTTAAATGACAACTTCAATGGTAGATAATTTAGGACTCTATTTTAATAGAGTAGATACTATTATTTGACGTGTTTTTGTTTGTTGTGCAGTGTTTATGTGCTCGGTCATCCTTTTTGCAAGGCCGAGTCTACTTGCTCAAAGATGTCTTGAACCTCTCGAAGGAATGTTTAAATGAGGATTTCAAACCCATCTTAAAAGTTCTCTGAAATTTATAAATGGTAGATATTTAAGAAACTCAGCACCTCTATACTATGATCCAGTTAAGATCCAGAAAGAATTTGAGAATTCTTACTGCTACGGTTTGATTCTGCCCTACAATCTGAGTTGCAAAACCACATACTGCATTATAATTATTCTCACACTTGTCTCACTTCTCTTTTTTTGCAAGAGCTTTGTCTATGATGCGTTGATAGTACTGTGTATACGGAGCAGTCTTATTTTTCTTCTCAAGCTGAAAAACGTTTCGAGAGAAAGCAGCTTCATCTCTCTTCATTGCACAAACTCAATATTTAACTCTACCTTCATTATGAGGCGTTTGACCACATGCTTTAACCCTTCCATAGCTCTCGTTAAATTTGTTCAGCCTCATAACAGGAATAATAGCAAGCTCTGGAAATGATATGTGGAGGCTTCACTGAGCAAAATGGACAGCAAGGATCTCAATCACAGAGAAGACACACTGTTCTTGGAGATTCTGGGACTTCAAGATATTCTTAGGCAGCTTTACGGTTGAAACAGTTTCAAGCTTCTTTCCTTGCTTTGCACTGTCATTTATGGATTTATGTTCCTGTATAACTAATACCAATGAAGCGGTTGGAATGAATATACCACTTGCATCGAGCCATTTAACCCTTAGTAGCAGGTACCATGGTCCAATAAACAGTGTAGCAACTCCATTTATAACCTGAATTATTGTATAAAGCAGAGAATGGAGATCACAAACCTGAGATAAAACTAACCCAGAGATAAAAAAAAAAACTTGTTTAGTGCCTGCTATGAATCTTCTCAACAGCTTCCTTATCCTCAATAGACATTGACGGCTTTTGTTGCCTCAAGGTTTGAATTAACAGATAGGTCAGGCTGATTTATTTCGTAAAACAAACTCCACTTTATATAAAAGAAAGAAAAATCATTTGTTCAACAAATACAAATAAATCACCTCTTCCACTTCTCATAACCCATAGACTCCTCTGGAATAACAATGACACACATAACGCTCCCATTGTAGTTGGATACCTGAACAACCATTGGAAAAAAGGGCGTAAAAATTCTCTCCCAGGCACAGGTTACTAGATTGGTTATTATCCGATAGTTACTTCTCCCACAGGTTTTAGTTACCACCCGGTTTTATCCGTTTATAGTTAAAACCACTTCCCACATTCCTGCTTTTTCAAATCCCTTTCCCCTTTTTGGAAATACCCGTTGGTCCATAACGTGTTCTGCTTTCTTATCCACCGGGTTCTTCCCCCGACCCGGGTCGGAGGGACAGCCATTGAAGGCCAAATACCGGCGTCCACCGTGCTATGGCTCACCGGGATTGCTGCTCCACCGTCAACTCTCCTTCGAATCAAATGAGTACGAGATCCTCTCTAGCGGTCTCGACCCTGTGCTAGGTACACTCCTCCTATCCATTTATTCAGTGTTAATACTGCATTTAAGACTACCAACTACTACTTGCTCTTGTCTCCGACTTTAAAGCTCTGCTACCAGTTAGATCTGAGCTTCAATTTACGCGCTGACTTGGTTATTCCTGCATCTCTCTCAACAACGGTTATAACATCTCCATTGGTAATCATGGCTCATCGCCTCTCACGAGCTGACAAAGGCAAGGGCATAGCTATCTCGGAACCACCGACAAAGCGCCCATCAGTTCGTATCCCAGCCAGTGATAACAATGCCCTTATCGCAGCTAATAAACTGACTCTGATAGGTCGTGTTACAAACCCTATCCTCCAGCGCACTCGAGCAGTTGTGGAGTTTCTGCCTCAAGTATGGAATCTAGAAGGTAGAGTGGAGGGTAGAGAACTCGGACCTGATAAATTTCAGATGCGTTTCCAGTCCGAAGCAGAGATGGAACGTGTTCTCACCAAGGGCCCTTACCACTATAAAAAGTGGATGTTACTTCTCCAAAAATGGGAACATGTGGTCTCTGATTGTTTTCCTTTCATGATTTCCTTTTGGATTAAGATCCATGACCTTCCTCTTCACTTCTGGAGTGAAGGTACTATTACAACTATTGGGGAGCAACTTGGTCGGGTCCCTGAAAAGGTTACTGAAGAAGCTAAAATAAGAGTTGAGTTGAATGGAATGGAGCCCTTGATTATGAGTATGGATATCCAACTCTCGTCAGATGAAGTTCTCCCTGTTCAGTTTGAATACATAAAGCTAGAGAAACACTGCTTTACATGCTTTTCTCTGTTCCACGAAGAAGTCAACTGTCCCCTACGATCACGGCATGACCCCCCTGTTAAAGACCGTAAATTGGGCATTACTCAATGTTTAGCTCTGCAACGGATTGAGGCTGATAAAAGAAGACATGACGACCGTAGAGGGTACCAACGACCTTCCTATGACTCATGCCCGCATGATAGGAGGACGGGTAGGACTTCCTATCGCTCTTACTCTGAACATAGAGTTGATGAACGACCTACTTCAAAAGATGGATCCTCTTACCGCTGCAAAGTATCCCCCGGTTGCCCTCGCCACAGACTCCCTCCTTTGGAGTCATCAAAGAAGACAGAGGGGGTCGATTCTCGTGTCCTCTCCAGTGGTGTTGTTATCCGCCATCCAGAAAAGTCAGGAGCCGCTGCTCCTCCCACTCAAGTTACCGGTGGAGTCTTTAATCGTCTATCTCAATCTCAAGTCTCTCATACCCCCTCCCCACGCAACCTTTGGGAACGACTTGAATTTCCAAATAATGAGGAGGTCTCAGGGGAAAATTCCATCTCTAAGTCTAGATCAAGAGAGCGTGGAGCGCCTCCTCTTCTTCGCAGCTCGGAGCCGGACCTGCGGAATCTCATCTCTCCTCGAGTTACTTCCAGTTTTAACTCTGATAGACTACAAGATGTTGAAATTCAATATGATGGTGTGGAGAATGATCAACGCTTCAGTCCTATCTTCACAAATTCTATTACTCTGCCACCCCGTATCCCTGCTACTCTCCGACTGAGTGATGGACATGATGAGGAAGCCGGACCTAGCTCTGCTAATCCTCCCATCACAGCTCCCTCTAAAGCGGCTGGAAAGAGGAAAAGCACCAGAGCGGTGGTGAGAAGGGTCGCACGCAGTCCAAGACAAGGACTTAACCTCAGGAAGACAAATGTGGCACGATCAATTAATCCACCAAGGAAGAAGCTCTGTGTGGATAAAGAAAAGTTACCTTGTGATAAGGCTGGTCCTAGTTCCAAATCAAGAGGCGCACCCAAGAAGGGAGGGTCGGATTTTCGGCCCCCTCCGCCTCCTCTTCCTTAGTATTGCTGAGTTGGAATTGTCAAGGTTTGGGAAACCCCTTGACAATTCGTCGTCTAAAGGAGATGTATCGTACCAAATCTCCTGACATAATGTTTCTCATGGAAACTAAGAACGATGATGAATTTATCAAGAAGAAGACCTCTAGTTTCCATTACCCTAACTACTTCTCAATTCCACCAGTGGGCACTAGCGGTGGTTTGGCTTTGCTGTGGAAGGATTCTGTCACTATTAAGATTCTGGAATCTCTCCCCAATCTGATCGATACGGAGATAACTTTCAAAGGTGTCGACTCGTTCATATCCTTTGTCTACGGTGCTCCGGTGGTAGAAAACCGATCCGGTTTTTGGAATAAACTCTCTCAGACTGGTTTGGGAAGGGATTCCTCATGGCTTCTTGCTGGTGACTTTAATGAAATTCTCGATAACTTTGAAAAAGTGGGAGGACCAGCAAGATGGGAAGGTTCCTTCACTGCCTTTCGATCATTTGTCTCACGAAACGGGCTATTGGATTTACGGCACTCTGGAAATCAGCTTTCGTGGAGAGGTACCCGTTACACTCACTTCATACGATCACGTTTAGACCGATCTATGGTAAATTGCTCCTAGAGTGAGCAGTATCCAATGGGGAGAAGCTCATACCTACGCTTTGAAGGGTCCGATCATCGACCCCTCTTGACATTGTTCAACGCAAGCTTTCGTAAAAAGCGTGGAGTTTTCCGATTTAACAGAACTCTAACAGAGAAGCCGGAGATGGATGAGATTGTCAACTCAGCCTGGAACTACCCCCCTTTAGCTACAGTCTTGGAGAAATTAGATTCTTTCCGGCGAAGTATCATTAAGTGGGCTAAAGAACAAAACGCCAAGAACAACCTAATCATCTCTCAAGCACAAGACGCCCTCGAGGGTGCCCTCTCTGCGGCTATCCCAGACCCCACGCTCATTGAATCTCTCACCTCCACTCTCCGTGAAGCCTATCGGGAGGAGGAAATTTTCTGGCAACAACGGAGTCGCATACAATGGTTGAAGAGTGGAGACAGAAACACTGGATTTTTTCATGCTATTACTAGGCAACGACGTCTCCTAAACTCCCTCTCAGTCATTGAAACGAAGGAAGGGGTCGCTGTCTATGAAGAGCCCCAAATTGCAGCGGTTATCTCGGATTACTTTAATGAGATCTTCAGCTCCAGTGGGAATACGGACTTCACTGCTGTATCTAATATCCTCTCGGGCAAGGTTACTGAGGAAATGAACGAAATGTTGACAGCTATACCGAGTGATTCGGAGATTAAACAAGCAGTATTGTCCATCAATGGAGGAAAAGCCCCCGGACCGGATGGTTTTTCGGCTAAATTCTATCACTCCTACTGGCACATTATTGGGGAGGATGTTACTCGCGATGTGCGGCGCTTCTTTGTCTCAGATTACCTTCACCCGCAGCAAAATGATACTCACATCCGTCTCATCCCAAAAGTCACAGGCCCACGGAGCGTTGCTGATTACCGACCTATTCCTTTATGCAATACACACTACAAGATCATTGCCAAGATTCTGTCGCGACGCTTGAAACCACTTCTCCCCGCCTTGATATCTCCATCTCAATCTGCGTTTGTGGCTGGAAGAGCAATTGGGGATAATGTATTAATTACTCATGAGACCCTGCATTATCTCCGCACCTCGGAAGCCAAAAAATTATGCTCAATAGCTGTAAAGACCGACATGAGCAAAGCGTATGATCGTCTTGAGTGGGGCTTTAATGAAGCTGTCCTTACATGTATGGGATTTGCAAGTAAGTGGATCACTTGGTTCATGCGGTGTATCGACTCTGTCTCCTACTCTTTCTTATTCAACGGCTCCCCGCAGGGGGCTGTCAGACCGTCTCGTGGAATACGACAGGGTGACCCTCTTTCTCCGTATGTTTTCATTTTGTGTACGGAAGTTTTATCGGCTTTGTGTGACAAAGCGATGCAGGATGGTTCTATGGCTGGTTTCTGTGTTTCTCGACATAGCCCCTCGATCAACCATCTATTGTTTGCTGATGACACCATGTTCTTTTGCAAGTCGAACCCGACTAGCGTTACCACCCTTCGGGCTATTCTGCGCCAGTATGAAGAGTTATCGGGACAGCGAATTAATCTCCTTAAATCTTCAGTTACTTTCTCTGCGAGAACTCCCCCTGAGGTCAAGCTGAGAGTCAAAAATACTCTATCTATTGAAGCTGAAGACGGTATTGGAAAATACCTTGGTCTCCCCGAGAATTTCGGTAGGAAGAAAAGGGACATTTTTGCATCTATTGTGGATCGCATTCGACAAAAGGCCTTCAGCTGGACCTCCCGGTTACTGCCGGGTGCCGGCAAACAAGTCCTCCTCAAAGCCGTGTTATCGGCTATGCCTTGTTACTCAATGTCTTGCTTCAAGATCCCTATCTCGTTGTGCAAACAAATCCAATCCATCCTTACCCGTTTCTGGTGGGATGCTAACCCAGAAACCAAGAAAATGTGTTGGGTAGCTTGGGATACCCTAACTCAACCTAAGTATGCGGGTGGCCTTGGTTTTCGCGATATAGAAGCCTTCAATGATTCCTTGTTAGCAAAGATCGGCTGGAGGATCATCACCAACCCTGAGTCGCTTATGGCCCGGGTCCTTCTTGGCAAATATGCGTGGAAGTCAACTTTCATGTAATGTGACCCTCCTTCGGTAGCGTCACATGGTTGGAGAAGCATATTGGCTGGCAGGGAGGTCTTGAAGAAAGGACTTAACTGGACAGTAGGCGACGGAGAAAGCATACGAGTCTGGCAGGACCCGTGGATCAGTTGTGATATACCCATCATTCCTCTTGGTCCCCCTCCACTTTCTTCAGTTAACTTAAAGGTTAGTAAGTTACTCTGTTCTCTGTCAAATGAGTGGAATGTGGAAAAGATCAGAGATGTATTACCACACTATGAGGAACAAATTTGTAGCCTGATCACTAGCTCGGCACCATCTCGCGATCGTCTTGTCTGGCTGCCTGAAAAATCAGGGATATACACCACTCGCTCTGGGTACAGATTGTAGTAATGGACTGCGAAGTCAAGAGATGGTCTCTCCTGTCCATGATACACTCCTCCATCCCCCGTTTAATTGGATGAAGGATATTTGGAATGTCAGTACAGCTCCGAAGCTTAAAGATTTTTTGTGGAGGTTGGCCAGGAAAGCTATCCCTGTGAGCGAGAATTTGGCTTCTCGCGGAATTACATCCTTTTCGTGCAAGTCATGTGGTGAGGAGGAGGACGATCTCCATGTCTTCCTGCATTGTCCGATAGCATCTCGGGTTTGGGAGATGGCCCCTTTGGTCGCTGGACCGCCTTCCCTCACTCCTTCGATCAAGACGCTGATCTCCTCTGCTCAATCTTTTGTCAATTTACCTCCTTGTGGTGTTATCATACCATTATGGCCTTGGATCCTGTGGAGCTTATGGAAGGCTCGCAACAAACTCTGCTTTGAGAATCGTACCTACTCTGCAGGAGAGATTATCTCGAAGGCCGTCTCTGATGCGCGAGAGTGGCAACTGTCACAAAACCACTTCGTTGAAACACCCTCTCGGATCAACCCCTCTCCGCCATTACGTGTTAATACGTCTGTTCCTGTTTGTCATGTGGATGCAGCTTGGGATGCAAAATCCCGAGTGTGTGGTCTAGGATGTCTTTTCTCTGGCTCCCATACTGTTGCTTGCCTCCCACGGATCTCCACTACTCGGGATCTCGTTTCTTCTGCGATTATGGCTGAGGCCCTCGCTATTCGTCTTGCAGTCATGACGGCTGCTTTCTCGAACATCAAAGCTCTTGCGATCATGTCTGATTCCCTTACTCTCATCACTATGCTAAGGCGAAAGGAATCACGACCGGCTCTGTATGGGATTTTGTTCGATATCTATCATTTCAGTACTTACTTTGATGTTATCTCCTTTCACTTTGTTCCTCGTTTGCAAAACATTGCTGCTGATTCTATCGCTAAACTAGCCCTTGCTAGGGTGCTTGTACCGATCTCTCCTGTTTGAGAGTAAACTATTTAGCTTATTTGATCAAAAAAAAAAAAGACTCCTCTGGAATAAAGATTTTCCACTGTAATAGGATAAGCTCGAAGCCTGTGAGTAGAAGTTGTTTCTAGGGACAGAGATGCGATATGCACATAAACTGTTATTTGTATTTGCAGAGCTCAACATCAAGCTTGTAGATCTTATTTTCGTCTGGATCGCCTCTTCTATTTTCCAGAGAAACATTATGAAAGCAATAAAGTTAAATTCATTTTGGATCTTAGTCATTCGATCTGATACCTCTTAAACTTTCCTGTAAAAGAAAAGAGAAAATAATCTATTGCTTCTGTCCAGCATTCTGAAATCTCAAAAATCCAACAATCTATGAAAAAAGATCGATGAATATCATTGCCATCATTGTGTGTTGGTTTTGGATTTTTAGAATGTGGTTCTAGCTAAGATTCGGGAAAGAAGTTTATATAAAGAGAGAAACAATTGGGACTCAAAACGTTAATTTCATTTTAAAGAAGTGTTGAAGAGAATTAAATGTTAAAATGTGGGTGGACTTAAGTACACAGTTTCGGAGATTTGCAAAGATTTTAAGAAAGATGAAGGTGAAGTGTTACGAACAATCTTAGACATTGGTCAGACTGAAACTGAACCACATAGAATTTTGCTACGTACAGTCCA